ACATTTCAAAACAGACTTGAAACAAAAATGTTCTTGGTCAAGAAGAAACAAATTTACACAATACACTTACCTACACCCAATACACTTCTAAAAGATGTACTTCAAGAAGGAAAGAAAATTAACTGAGAAAGAAGCTCCGAGATGCTAGGAGGTATGGTGAAGGAAAAATCTGACAAGTATATAATCTATACTTGGTATAAAATAAATTGTTCATTTACTTAGCATGTATTATTTATCACCTACTATAGTAAGCTGAATAATGTTCACCTAAAGATATTAGGTCTTAATCTCTGGAACATGTAAAATGTCACACCTTATTTGGAAAAGGGGCTTTTACAGATGTGATTTAAGAATTTTGAGATGAGATTATTTTGGGATTATCTGATAGGTCCAAAATGCCATCACACCTGTCCTTTAAGGAGAGGTAAAGAGAAATTAACCTTCCCTGGTGGCTCAGACAGTAAAGCATCTGTCTACAATGCAGGAGACCCCTGCACTGTTCGATCCCTGGGTGGGGAAGATCCTCTGGAGAAGGATGGCAACCCACTCCAGTACCCTTGCCTGGAAAATCCCATGGGAGGAGCCTGGTAAGCTACAGTTCATGGGGTCGCAAAGAGTTGGACACGACTGAGTGAATTTACTTACTTCAAAGAGAAATTACACACAGAAGTAAGTCATGTGATAGAAGTAGAGTCAAAGAAAAGATGCTATGGAACCAGCTTTTAAAGTGGAGGAAAGGGACATGAGTCAGGTAATGTAGCTACAGAGGGAGTGTGGCCCTGCCAACACCTTGATTTCAGCCCAGTAAAGCTGATTTCCAACTTTCGGCCTCTAGAACTGTGAGAGAATTAATTTCTGTTGTTTTAAGCCACGACATCTGTGGTAATTTGTTACAGCAGCCACAGGAAACTAATGCACCTACCATGGCTAGAAACTTCCCTACATGTTTGAACAAAACAAAGGTCTTTACCCTAACAGAACTTAAACTCTATTCTCAACAGACAATATGCCATGAGTATTATTAACAAGTAAACTGCATAGCATGTAAAAGGTGACAAATGAATCACGTGAGAAAGGCAAAAAAGTAAGGTGAGTGTGGAATTGGAAGTGTGTGGTCGGGCTGGTGGGCAAATTGAAATTTTAAATATAATGGCTATGGTAAGCTTCCCTGAGAAGGTGGTATTTGAGCAGACTAATATTTTAATTTGTGGTATTCATTTTTTAAAAAGAGGACAAAACTAAAGCACTGGACAATAATACTGTGTAAGTTGGGGAAGAGGTGATCAGTATTAAAGTTTTCTAACATCTGTATTAACTGGGAGGAAAATTTAGACATTCATTTTAGATTTTAAGCATACATACTAAGATATCGAAGGTAATCAGTAAAAGAAAAGAAATAGAATATATACTTTCCAAATAAATAGTGGGGAAAATGGAATATGAAAGTAAACAAACAGAACTCAATATATGTATTTTTTAAAGCTGAGAAAGGAGAAAAAGCTAAGAAAATTAGGATAGAGAGCAACCAGTAAGACGTTAGAAACAAATGCAAATAGATATAATTTTCCAGTTAAAGGACAGAAATTGTCAACTATACTCCAGTAAAAAAAAAATTAATGTATATTATGCAAAAAAAGGACAAAAATTGTCAGATTAGGGGAAAAAATGGGAAAACCCATCTAACATGAAGCGACTCACCAAAATATGAGAATATAAGGAAAGGCTGTTAAGCAATAAGCAAATACTAGACAAAAGTCATAGTAGTTATTTTAAGACAAAATACTAAAACCAACTCAAGAATAGAAAATCCAAAAAAAAAAAAACCTGTTAAGTGGAGAGATTGAATCAATAATCAAAAAATTCCCCATAAAAGCAAGCCCAGGACCAGACAGCTCCATTGGTAAATTCTAGTAAATATTTAAAAACACCAATCCTCAACTTTGAGGACTTCCCTGGTGGCTCAGATGGTAAAGTGTCTGCCTACAATGTGGGAGACCTGGGTTCAATCCCTGGGTTGGGAAGACCTCCTGGAGAAGGAAATGGCAACCCACTCCAGTATTCTTGCCTGGAGGGCTACAGTCCATGAGGTCACCAAGAGTCGGACATGACTGAGCAACTTTACTTTCTTTCTTTCTCAACTTTGGGGCTTCCTCAGTGGCTGAATGGTAAAGAACCTGCCTAACAATGCAGGAGATGTGGTCGGGTTCAATCCCTGGGTCAGGAAGATCCCTGGAGAAGGAAGTGGCAACTCATTCCAATATTCCTGCCTGGAAAATCCCATGGACAGAGAAGCATGGTAGGCTACAGTCACTCCATGGGGTTGTAAGAGTCAAACACGACTTAGGGACAAAAACAACAAGTAACTTCTCAACTTTAATCTAGACTAGTTTCATACTGACTTTATAAACTATTTGACTTTAAAGATTTGGATGAAACGATGTTTATACTTGTGCTTGATTTTTCTAAAATAGGACAGTTAAGAATAAATACTCACCTTAAGGATTCCTGGAAGTCACCCGTTACCATCCCTTCCCCTCTACATTCCTATAGCATTATCACCAAACCACCACAAAAATAAAGAGAAATTTTAAAAATAAAATTGACAACTATGAATTCATTAATCATTAGGAAGAAGATTTTCAGTTCTGTGGTTTTATAACATTCTTAGAATATCTGAATGTTAAAGATCTTCTCCACAAATTTTTTTTAAATAAAAAGTTTTATTGGAGAAAAATAGAACCACCACGTACACAGGGAAAAGAGCACAAAAATTCAACTGATACAGAACTGAAAGTCACAACTACCCAATGTTGTTGGCGATTACTTTTCAATTTCTTAAATGGCTTCCATCAATTTTTTAAATAGCCTTGCCAATTTTCAGCTGAAATAGAATCAAGTTTTCAAAAAATTAAGAGCCTCAGCGAAGGGACCAGCTTTTAAGATAACAAAGGTGACACCAAGAGTCTCCTAATAGGACCAATTCTACCGAAAAATTCCTGAAGCACATAACTACTGAGTCTGGTAGAACAGTAGCTCAGAGACCATCAGGGATTAGTTAGAACACTGACTCAGATGGTCCAGTATGCAGAGAGGGCAAACAAAAAAGCTGCATTTCCCTGTCAGATGAGTTCACATAAGAAAACCAAGGAGGTGCTAAGAAAATACAGGCAATGGCTGCTCAAATTAATTAAGAAGGCATTCTAAATACCACATATTATTAGACAACAGTGTGTAAAGTGATGCAATTAGAAAACAGGCAACTTAAAAAAAATATGGTCACAGGTCTTTGAGAACTCAAGAAAACAATCAATAGCAAACACAAGAGCTGAAAGTCTTCTCAGCTGAGGGTTGAAAGTGAAAGTGAAGTCGCTCAGTCATATCCGACTCTTGGCGACCCCGTGGACTGTAGCCCACCAGGCTCCTCCGTCCATGGGATTCTCCAGGCAAGAATACTGGAGTGGGTTGCCATTTCCTTCTCCAGGGTATCTTCCCGACCCAGGGTTAGGACCTAGCTATTCTTCCCAATAGCCTCAAATAGTCAAGGAAATAAACTACTGCAAAAAGCATTATAGCAGTTCTGATTTTTTTAAACCAAAACAAAATTTCTGCTTCTCTTCCAAGATTAATTCCCTTCAAAGCTTCAAGGAAAAACAAACAAGGAAGCAAAACAAAACCCCAAATACAAAAACAAAAAACCACTGATGGTAAAGAGAAGCTTTTTACTCACATTATCAATTTGAAAAAAACAATACTTTTGCTGTTTTCTATGTATGAACAATCCTAGGACGTTCCTCTGAAAAGCAGGTGTCCAGTGGCTATGAGAACTCTTTTATCTTTAAGCAACTTTGAAAAGAAGATCAGCATAATACAGAATTTGAAATCCCAACTAGGGGGTGTGTGGGGGAAATGAGGAAGGATCTAGTTCTATCTAGGGCTTTAAGGAAGTTAAAATAAGGATGACAGGAAAGACTAATATGCCAACGAAAAGGAGAGTTGAGGTGCTTCCAAAAAAAACTTTGGTAGAGAAAATAGGAATGCTAAATCCCAGGAAGCCTGGAACAATCTACAATTGGTCCAAGTTAAAGACAAAACTGTCCAAACAATGTTGAAGTCTAAAGGAAGTTGAAAACTAGTTTGTGAATTTTTGCTTTTGTAAAAAGTTACAAATGTGGGTTTGGTCTCTTTTGCAATGCTCATATTATATTCATTTTTAATATGAAGAAATCGTTGGGTTTTTCTCTCCTACCATGTTCTTCTAGCACAACTGATCAGCAATTTTCTATTTCAGCTATTTGTATAAGTACCTGTTAATCAGCACAGTAAACTCAGGGCTCAACCATACACACACATCTCATAAATGGAACATTTTAGGATGTGTGTATACAAGACAATATGTAAGCAACTGTCCCTCTACTTGAAAACTTGTTTCCAAATAAAAATTTTAAAAACATCCCTTTCAGTGTAACAGAACATTACTTAGTAAAATATCAAGAGCTATGACAACGTATTTTTCTCTTCAAGGGAAATCACAAAACAGGTGAACAATCAAGTCCAGGGTGGTTTTTCTATTTGATAAATACATCCAGAACTCTGTACAGTAAATAAAGTTTGCATGCAGTTTAAGTATCTTTAAATGACATTTTAAGCAAATAAACCTTTTGCTTCATAATTAAATGGTGTATAAGAACCCCTTCCTCCTTCTTTAATAGCCATAAGGACCTCTTCCCCAGTTCCAAATAGGAATCATGAAAACCGGGTACTTTCTTAAAAGAGTTTTCTGCACATCATACTAAATAACATGCAAAGAGTTCGACAACATTCTTCTTAACGGTAAGTATTACTCTTTAAATGGGCATGTTAACCACTGAAAAGTCACTCAACTATTCCCATTACACTGCTTCATTTGGTCATTGGTAGTATAAAAGAATTCAAACAACAACAGGTTAGTTTATCCACTGGCTATTGTATATGACAGCAAATGCTTCAAGGCCAACAACATTTTATGCAATGTAATTGTACTGGTTTGGATTTTCTTTGTCTCTCTCCATGTAGTCCCGGTCAATTAAGGATTCTATTCTCTTCTTAAGATCAGCAGGCTGTAAGAGAAGGCAAATTTTCAGTGCATAGTTCATAACCCACTGGCTCAAACCCCTTTATCAATACTCATTTTAAAAAAAACAGCTTAGGCTCACTGAATATATTTAATCTCCTTAATTTTTTTTTTCAAATCTCCTTAATTTTAAAGAGGAAAGCATGATGAAAATAAATCAGGTTAAAAATGTTTTTCTACTATACATATACTGTCACATCTTGTCCTATTGTTATATAGTACATTCTCTATTTTAAAGAGGTCTGCTAAGAACCAGCTATTCTCTGCACAAATACAAAAGACCATCATAACTTCACACGAAGAACATGTTATAGTTTAAGGAAACAGGATACTATTTAGTTTTGCCAAGACAGTTTGAGAAGATAACTAGATGCTAAATTTGGAAAAAAGCTCGTTCTCAAAGTCAGGTTTTGTTGCTGTTGTTGTTGTTGTTGTTGAGTAGCCAAGTTGTGTTCAACTCTTTGAGGCCCCATGGACTGTAGCACACCAGGCTCCTCTCTCCTCCACTATCTCCCAGAGTTTACTCAAATTCAAAGTCAGGTTGCATTTTTATAAATTACAGGTATACTATGGAAATCACTATTTACAAGACTACTACAACAACTGGCTTGATAAGTGAAGTATCATCTCATAATTCAGATCTCTGTATTTCAGGTTTAATGTGAGATTTAACTGTTACTTGCCCAAAATGATTTGAATTTTTAAATTCTACTTGTTGAAAAATCATTAAGAAAGCTTATAGCTTGTTCTCAATTGCATTCTTAGCTGTTGGACAACAAAAGTCCACTGTCTTTTGTATCTAGCCTTAAAGAGAATATAATCTTGCTTGCTAATAGCTTTTCAGATTGTGTAAAATGCGTACTTGATCAAGAAAGTTAAAGAGCAAAAGTAGTTTGATCGGGCAGTCAAAATTTCAGTGAAGTTTGAATTCCAAGGTTTGAAAATCAAAATAACTTGCTCTTAATTATGGTGAAAGACCAAGAATATCAGCATATTTATTATAGTGGTCCTAATAACTTCCTTAGCTAGCTAGTATCAGTGAGCTCTCTGGCTGGAGGTGAAATGATTGTTAAGGCATAGGATGAGGGTGAGAGTGTGGTCATGAGGAGACAGTATCAACAGCTAACAAGCATTTATGTGTCAGGCCCAGTGCTAAGTTTTTAAAAATATCATCTCATTTAAGCTTCACCAAAATCCTATGAGGTAAGTACTATTATCATCTCCATTTTACAAAAGAGGAAAACAAGCTCAAAGGGTGAAACAGTCAAGAGTCTATCCAAAGTCTAAAAAGTATTTATCATCACAAGAGTTTGGGAATCTTCTATAACATGAGATACAGTCCAGCACACCACCACATTAAGGTGCTTAATTACTGGGAATTTCTATTGAAACATATCCATGTGATGACTAATTTTAGTTTGCCAGATCACTAAACTTTACAAAAAGATGCCTAATGATGACTTCATAGTTTTATTAAATTGGAATATAATTGCCTGTATGGTTTTTAATGGACCCTTACACAAGCTAACTAAACAGAAGACTCAATTAAAATAACCCAATCTGTCAAATAGCAAGGTATTCTTCGGTGAAAAAAAATTTAAAAAATAACAAAGAAGCTAAAAAAAAAATAAAGTGAATAAACTTGAAAATTTCAAGTTTCAGGTATAAGAACTTTTATAAGGGGAAGGGGTGAAAAGAAAAAAAAAAGAACTTTTATAAATTGTTTTCCCCCTTTGTCACAGCTGCCCACATATGCCAATAAAGGTTTTTTTTAAAAATCATATATATAAGCATGAGAAATGAAAACTTTTGTCCCTCTTAAATGGTCTTGAGGTTTTATTCTATGTTTGTAAGATCTGTGTCTAAAAAATCTAATTTATATAATATATATAAAATATAATTTTTATATATAGGTAGCTCAGTAATAAAATACAGAAGTACCTACCTTGACGGGAAATTTCAACTGGTTGTACACTTCTGAAACAAGAAGATTATGGCTAAGTGTCTTTCTCATCTTCATAATTCGAACAATTGCAGCATCAATTTGATATTGTCTATCTTGAAAGACTCTTTCTGTGGTACTAGCTTGTTCTTCAACCTAATAAAAAAAGTTTTAAACTTAGGAACTGTACCTGAAGTGAAACCTGATAATTTATACAAACTGTACGTTTTAGGGCCATGACACAATTAACGCTTTAAATATGCTGAATTATCAAAAGAAACCTCATAAATATAGACAATGACAAAAAAAAACCCCTACAAACATAATTCCTGATTGTCTTAGTGGCCTGTATCAATGAAGTAATGCCAATATTAGTTAACAGAAAAATACCATCTTGGTTTTTCTAGAGAGACAGCTGATGAAGAATGTATCATTTCCTTTTATTCTGTTCTTAATGTGTCACAAGCAGTTGCTGACCAGATTTCTGTATAACATTAGCTTATCTGTAAAAGTGACTGACACTGACATCTGACTCAAACAAAATATGGTACCACCCAGCTAAGCTTATTAGAGTCAAACTTTTTTTTTATTTTGTAATACATAAATCAGAAATGCACAGTTTAAAAAGCTAGTTAACCAATTTTAATGTTATAGCTAGCATGTTCCTCTTTAGTACTTAAATTAGGAGTAGCTTAGGCTTCTTTATTTTTAATTTTTTGCCTCACCGTGCAGTTTGTAGGATCTAAATTCCCCGACCAGGGATCGAATCCATGCTCCTTGAAGTGGAAGCACAGAGTCTTAACCACTGGACTGTCAGGGAAGTCCCTAGTTTGGAGATTTTGTAGTCAGCTTCTTTCTGATACAGTATACATGTTTTAAAATGACACGGTAATTTAAGGGAATATCACACCTTTGGTGTGAATGTTAACAAAAGAGGAACTTGTCTGCAACACTGACCTCTGTGCTATGCTAAATCACTTCAGTCGTGTCCGACTCTTTGCAACCCTATGGACTGTAGCCTGCTAGGCTCCTCTGTCCATGGGATTCTCCAGGCAAGAACACTAGAGTGGGTTGCCATGCCCTCCTCCAGGGGATCTTCCTGACCCAGTGAGTAAACCTGTGTCTCTCATGTCTCAGGGTATCCTGCACTGCAGGCCGATTCTTTACCAACTGAGCTATGAGGGAAGCCCACATTGACCTCTACCCAGTATTAAAACTTTTTCTCAAGTACTACATTAAACCTTGTTGGGATTGAAACCAACTGGTTTCAGGAAATGCTGCAGTTGCTTGTTTCCTTAATAAAAGTCTCTAACAAACTCAAATGACAGAAACAAAATATTCACTGCTGATCAAAAAAGTACTAACTAAATCATTCCAAGTTTTCGCCAAGGAAGCTGGCAGAGAAAGAAAAAGAAAACAATCTTTAGTGCTGGCGAGGGCACAGTGAGACAGGCACTCATGCTATTAGTGTAAATTAGTCCAGTCTTTCTGGAACACAAAATAGTATAATGTATTAAGACTCTTAAAATGTTCACACTCTTTAACCCAAAAGATCTACTTTCATGATAAATTTATAAGGAAAGATCACAAAGATTAAGATTTAGGTACAGAGATGTACCTTGCTGTTTTATTTATAATACTAAGAAGTTATGAATTTAACTGCCCAACAATAGACATTAGCTGAATAAATTATTAGAGCTGCGTAAAAGAATATTGTGTGGCCATCTCCCATTTTACAAAGATGTTTTAATGGCATGGAAAAATAAAGACCTAAAATACACAAAAAAGCAGTATATAAAACTATGTTGAGTATTAGGCCCAACTGTGTACACCCTACCCCCTGCAAAACCCTACAAAATCAAATACTGAAATACACTGAGCTAGATACAGGCCCAGATAATATTAATGCTGGTGGTGGTATTTTAGGCTAAAATCTTCTTTGTAAATCTTTACTATGAACACATATAATTCTAGTACATCAGGATGAGGAGAATGCAAAAAAAAAAGTACCGTTTCTTTCATCTGAATTTGATTGATCTTTATCCTGAAAAGTTTGTGCTTGAAATCATCATTACAAATGAACTTGTCACCATCTTCGATATCTTTACCCTTTGGATTTTTCGCCAGAACTCTGGCTTTGCCACAGGCCAATGACTGCAATGTTCTCCTTAACTCTCCATCCTCTGAAGAAGAAAGAGTGGTTTAGCTATCAGTTACTAGCACATCAACACGGACAGCTACATTCACAACCTCAGTCTAGCTTCTACCCTACCCATCTATTACAATTGTTTCATTTTTCCTCAAGGTTCATGAACAACATCCTCTTTGTCCCACCCAATCACTTTTTTCCTGGTCATCCTCTAAAGGTTTCAATTATCATTCTATGTGAATAACCATCACACCTTCAGAAATGACATCCCACTTTTCCCCAGCCCCACATCTAAAGGCTACCTCCACCTGGCTCTTTTATGCTCATCAATTTCAGTATGTCCAATATTTTAGTCATCATCTTCCCCATAAAACTGTATCTTCTTTCCAACTGTTAGTCATGAAGCTACCAACCTACTCTGGTGAGAAATCCTGGAATCATCTTTTAACTCTTTCCTCTCCTTCATCCTCCATGTATCTAGTAGTTGCTTCCTTAGAGATGCCTTGTCTCATTGTAGTCTAAGCTCTTTATCACTTTATGCCTGAATTACCCCCAGGAGCTTCTGGCCTGGAATCTCTTCAACTTCCAAGCTGCCCTACTATCTACTGAGTCTAGGCAAGCTGCCCAAATGACTCCTGCCCAAGGTGTGCTCATTCCTTTCTCCATACCTTTTCTCATGGTATTTCCTCTTGCAACATAACTAAAATTTGAAGGCCCAGCTCAAACCCTACCTCTTTCATGAAGGCGTTCCCCATTGTGCCAGTCCACACTGATCTCTTGCTTCAATGAACTAACACACTCCGTCAGCACCACAGACTGGTACTCACTGGCTGTGAAACTATTTTAAGTGTCATTTCCCCCGTTCCCCATGGTTATAAGTCCTGAGGAGAGGGATTATTTCCTTAGAGTCCCCCAGACCACTTAACCAAATGAGGTGCACATAGTGAACACTGAATAATGCTTGCTAACCAACTGGTTCAACACAAACCTATTCCAGTAGCCTGCTTGATCTCTTCTAAACTGAACTCCTCTCCCTCATTAAACATTAGCAGCACCAGCGTTTGAAAAAGAGAGACCTGGAGTTCTTTTTTACCCTGTTGGAGAAACAACAGAGTTTAGCCATCATTTTTAAAAAAAGCACATGAAAATTAATCAAGTAACTAATCTCTTACTGGAAAAGCATTTTTCAATTAGTGGATTTAAAACCACAGATTAACATTATCCAGAAAAGTCAGTATGTTCAATGGAGGGTTTAGGTGTGATCCTACCTAAAATAGGAGAAAGGATTGAGTGACCTTTCTACAGGTCTTTTTTAAGCCTTATAATTAAAACAGAACAACAAAGTAATGAAAATTAATAACTCAGCTTTATGTGTCATTACAGATATTTATTACGAGCAGTAAGAAATCACTATTTCAATGCATTTTCAATTTGTCTGATTCAGATTAGTCATGAAAAGCTGTTGGATTTTTTGAAATTTGATATGAGAACTGTTCCCCTTGACGCCCACTCTCTTCTCTAGCTCCCAGCAACAAAAAAAGAAGTTTCCTGTCAAAAGTGGCAGCTCGAATTTTGCATCCACAGGTGGGGAAAGGATGTGGGAGAAAAGAGTTACTGATTTTGTTTTGCAGTAGAGCCCAATCAAGCATGGAAAAGACCACATTCACATACACAGAGCTGTGACAAGCTATCACTGCGTCATGCACATATATAAGACAAAGTTATAAAACACCTTAAAAAAACACCTTAAAAACTTTCAAGTCAAGAGGGATGATCTCAGTATCAAAGATGAAGATGAAAACTAAGTTGGGGGAATATCCACTTACCTCTTTAAACTCTGCCTTTAGCACACAGTGTCCTAGAGTTGATTGCCATTGAAGTTTCCTGCCACTATGTTTGCCAAGGTAAAATGTTTTGAAAATCTCCTGAAGTTTTACCATCTACAATAAATAATGCTTTATTTAAGGTCTGTATCCAGTATCACATTCACTACTTTTTTATTTATTTACATGTGTAAAAATGTGTGGAAGTTTTAAAGACTACACCCAATAGGGCCACTGATCACTCTGATGTAAGGTAATAACTACCAAATTAAATAGTTTTAATCAGATTTACCCTCTCTGATCTGTTTGCAACATTTTATCATCTTCTCTTTTTTAAAACAATATTTATTTATAAACTTAGTTGCAGTATATGGGATATAGTCCCTGACCAGGGATCAAACCCGGGCCCACTGCATTGGGAGCTGGTGGTCTTAGCCACTGGACCACTAGGGAAGTCCCATCCCCTCTTCTGAAAAATTCATCTCCAGTGTTTTTTGTGCCTCTGCATCATGCTGGTTCCTTTATCTCACTAGTGCTTCTTCATTAGTTTCCTTCATAGGTACCTCTTCCTACCACCTACCAATTGTGAGCCTTTTTCAAAGTTCTGCCTTAGGTCTGTTCTTCTTGTTTCCACATTCTCTCTCTTAATGAGGGAGATCTGTTCCCTGGGCTTTCATGATCATCTTCATGAAGGACTCAGTATCTATCTCTCTAGCCTTAACCCCTTTCCTAAGCTTCAGTCTTGGGTTAAGACATTTCCCCAGGAGTTAGGATGGATTTACCCAAGTATCCATCACTCAGCAATCCCACCCTCTGGCCCAGGTAATATACCATCACGAATTTTTGAGAGCTGGGCAGTTATGGGTACTAATACCATCTGCGGAACTGAAAGAAGAGTCAAGGAAATTGGCCCCAAACTCAGGAATTGGCATCTTAAGCTATGCTCTAATCATACAAGTATAGAAGTAATATAAATAAAAGAACAAAACATTAAAAACAGTTGACATTTGGTATGGGTGTGTTTACACGAACTTTTAAAACTGTAACTCTTACCTCTGGTGGTAAATGAACTTCCATAGGCACATATGTTGGCCAGTAACCCATTGTCAGGATATTCACAGTTAATTCAATATTCCCAGGTACATTCTGGTTCTGCATATACTACAATAAGATTAACACATACACTGAGATCTTAGAAAATTAAAATGCATATGTTTCATGCCATAAAAATGACCCATTATAAGCAACTCCTCACTACAAAACTACATGTGAATACTGACCATCTTTAAAATAAAAGGCAAAACTATTAAGAGAAATATAAATGAAGCCTATATTAAAAGCGCCAGAAGAGTACACCAGGTAACATTTTGCTACAATGTACACAAGGATCAGGTGACTCCTTCAAAGGCATTAACAACTTAAGTAATTTCTCAGATATGACTGGGCTATTATAGGATTTCTTCTCTATTCTTTTCCCCATACCACCTGCAGTATCCATCTTTGGAAAACCCTACGTGGCTTGGAAAACCCGGCAGCAACCCCCCATTCCTCACCCCACCAGCAAGCCCAAGTGTCTGGTTTTTCACTTGTTCCACTGTGCATCTGCAGGGAGTGACCTGAAATGGGGAAGGAAGAAGGGGAGAGGGCAAGGCAGGTAAACCCTACTCTGTAGCTACTACTACAGGACCCATGATCCTACTAATCCTGATCTTTCTCTTGAGTCTTTCACTCTCATCTCTCCCACCATAGCAACATAGTGATAAAGAAATCACTGTTAAAACCCTAGGAGAGGAAAATCTATCTTGCTATCACTATTACCGATAATCTTACATGTTTCAAAACTAGCTTCTACCAACATCTGCAAAATATATAGATCTAGCGTTTCATTCCCAAGATCCCCAAAGGCCTTATACAACCACTCTATCACCTCTTCCATCTCTATCACTAGCTCTGAACATGCAACTCACCACCAGTGGTTAAATGCTAGAAGCCCTGTTTTCACTAGCTACAGCCTTTCCTGTCCTGACTTCTTCTGCTCAATACATTTCATCTCTATTTTTGTGTTATTTTGGGAGTATATTGAGAATAAATTTTGAAGTAGGTCAAATATACTTACTTTTCATTGGTGATTATTTTCCTCTACTGTGACTATCATCTAAGTTGCTATGAAGTATTTATAACAAATAAAGTTTCTACTTTCTTCAGTACAAACCAAAGTAAGAAGATAACATTTAAGTTGGAGGAATTAAGAGTTTAACTCACTTTTACCTGTTTGAACTGAATCATGATGTCTTTAGAAAGTTCCATGTCTTTAAACATTCCTTCAAGTTTGCTGGTGAAAGCAGCTCCACATTCTAGTAAAGATGTTCGTACATTTACAATATTTTAAAGTGGTTAAAAACAAAGAATTTAGAATTGAAAACATGAAATGTAAAACTTACTTTAGGATGAAATATGGTCTGTAACTATTCATAAGAATAAAAAAAAGCCTTACCCCAAAGTGTATGCCCCACTAAATCAGAGTCAAATCTTAATCCTGTAGTAACTTTATCTACTTTTTAGGCACAAGATAAATGGGAAATTTTATACAAATGATAAAAACAAGAACAATGTCTTATTTTTTAAAAAAATTATGACTGATTCATGTCATAATTTGTATGTCATTCATGTATAACAAAAACCACTACAATATTGTAAAGTAATTAGCCTCCAACTAATAAAAAAAAATTAAAAAAAATTATGACAGCTCTGCACATGTAAATAGGTTGGAAACCTCATGAGCTTACTCAATTTACATTTTTAATCATATGAACTTACAATGACTGACAAAAGAGGCAATTGACTGAAAGAGTAGAAGTTAAGCTAATATTTTCTGTCAGAAATTAAAGAAGAAAAGGATCAGAAGAATGACAAACATACCATGTTTAAGTTTGGACAGCATTGATTTTTCAGCATCGACAGATGCACTTTTCCCAACTAAAAGGCGCTTGGCTAAATCTTTCTTATAGAAGGCCTCAAAAACATCCTTACCTATATAAATAATAAAACACAACTCTTATATTCCAATATAAGGTTTGGACACAATTGACTCAAAGTGCTTAATAAATCAAACCATTAACCCAAGTCATTTAAATGTACACATTTTATCCAAGTTTGCTAAATTCAAGAAACATTAGAGGTAGATTTTTGTGCCAGACATTTCAAGACTTCTTTGCTGTAAAGAATTAGACTGAATTAACTTTTCTTTAGAAAAGCTGTAGTTGACTAGTAGTTTTAGCATCAATATTCCTGAGATTAAAATAAGCAGCAAAATTCAAGACTCTTAACAGTGGAAAAGTCAGAGCACAAGGCAATTAAGCAACATTCCTCAAGTACCCCAATAATTTAAAAGCAAGGAATTTAATAGAATTTTAAATATTTAGCCCCCAAGTAAATATACCTTACAGGTTGATTTTACTCGCCAGTTTCTCTGTTGAGTGCTTTGTTTTAAGAGAACAATATTAAAACAAAAATACATACCATATATAAATCTAAATATAATCATAATCTTATCCAACATTTTTTCAAGTTCTTCATCGGTAGCTTCTTTGTTGCCTGCACGAAGCTTTGAATCCACATATTTCGCTAAAATGGGGGGAAAGTTTGTTGTTCAGTGATCATCAGTACCCATGAGGTACTGGTCACTATAAATATCAAACAGGAGTATGATATACTGAGTCTTTCAATGTTTTACATGTACACATGCATTTTTAAAAAGTTTCCAAAGTCAGGGAGATCATCAAGCGACTTGTTCAGTGTCACAGAGTTAAAACATACAAGAGCTTCAACTCAAACCCAAGTCTTCTGGCTCCAGACCTAATGTGCTTTCTACCATACTAATGGGATAAAGAAACTCTGGTGGGGGGATGGTGGTGGAGGTGTTTACAGCCTTGTGCAGAAGGTCAAAGTCACTGAAAGACATGGCATATCTTCTAGAATGTTCATTTTACACTGATGGTAGGCAATCTGAAATACTACTTTTCTATTAAAACAAATCAGATACATTACAGAGTAGGAGGCAAAAACTGCAAAAATTTTAAGGGTAAATAGTAAACCAACAAAATTTCATCCTTTAAGTGAAGGGTCTTCTCAGGTACCTCCTCCTCTGACCCAGGTGGGGAAAACTGAGAAGAACTGCAGTACACCACACTCTTTACTCTAAATAGGCCCAGGTTTATTTTCATCCTGAACATTCTTTCTCATTGGCAACTGTAATTTTGTGCTAGCCTTTCCTGTGTGTGGGCCTCAAGAAAAAGTACCCTGTCCCACCTCTAAATTGCTGTAGGCTTGTAAAACAGCTATCAAGCTTTTTATACATAAAAAGTAAACAGGGTCCAATGTACTGTCTTACAAAGAAAGACCATGTTTGATAATGTGGGCTTTGAGATATTCTTTAGCATGAAGGACTACTCCTTGCATCCAGCTTCTTAGAAACCACCAACTAAGTAACTAGAAATAAATTAAGACTGTTATTGAAAGACATGGCACAAAGATGTTAATATACAAAACCTTATAAAAGAAGAACATTAAATGGGAAAAGGGACTGGAAAAATACCTATAAGTTCAGCAGGCTTGTTTGGTCTTTTGTTAATGAATGTTTCAAATGCTTCTTTCATAGCATTGATAAATTTTTCATTCTTCAGGAAACAGATATCAATTATATGGTCAACCTTATCTTTAAAATCCAGCAATTCTTGAACCATGGTTTTATCCTTTTCAGGATTAATTACAATAGTGCTACCAAATGCCTAAAAAAACAAAAATGACTTTTTACTAGAATTTAATTATCTGCAAAGAAGACAACCCCCCAAATCATATTTTAAGTATATACACATACCCACATACTTTAAAATTTCAAAAAATTAAATAAAGCAGGTTCTGAAATCAAGAAAACAAAAGATAAAGTGATAAAACATCCAGACTGATACCACTCATCTATAATCACAAGGTAAGGAACAGCCACTGGGTATAAAATATCATAATGGAGTCTTATTGCAGAAGTTTCTAGGGTTTTTTCCCCTACTTTTAAAGTCAGCTTGAATTTTTAAAAAATGGCAACCTGCCTTCAGTGTAAGACCAAAGGAAAGAAATTTGGATCCAAAAAAAGTCCTATTCCTTTTTCCACATTCACTACTATAATTATTGGAGCTAGAAATCACATCATATATCACGAAGATAACTGTTTTATTGTTAATTTGCCACATGGCTATCATTCTCAGGTTGACTGCTCTCAAAACTCCCATTACTTGAAAAAAAAAGGGATCTAACAAATAAGAAAACACTTATTCATATGTACTCTGGTATACAGATTATAAGCCGTGAGAGGAAAAAAATGGTTAATGTTAATACCTTAATGTACTCAATCCATTGTTGTAAGAGAACCTGAACGCCACCTCGAACTCTACTGAAGAGCTGATACAGGAGAGATAAATCTTGAATTCGGTTTTCATCAAGGAGGTTATTTAAACCTGATTTTTGAAACATTTGGTATTTTAAAAAAAAGTGAACAAAAATGTCAGGTATTTAAATAAAAAAGAAGTTAAAATTATTCTGATACTGGTTTGAACTATGACTAGTCTGTGAATTTTAATATAGAGTGTGCTTTGAATTAAACTCAAAGAGATAATTACCTTTCCAAGTGAAAACTAAATATAGGGAACTTACATAAAAACAAAAATTATATAATGGTCTGTACCATTTAACATAGTAGATCACATGTATAAACCAACTTATAAAAATTGGTCTGTGTAAATACGGTATTCTTGGGCTTCCCTTGTGGCTCAGATGGTAAAGAATCTGCCTGCAATACAGGAGACCCAGGTTTGATCCCTGGGTTAGGAAGATCCCCTGGAGAAGGGAAAGGCTACCCACTCCAGTATTCTGGCCTGGAGAATTCCATGGACTGTACAGTCCATGGGGTCAGAAAGAGTCAGACATGACTGAGCGGCTTTCACTTCACTTTCAAATACATGTTACAAATACCTCATATGTGCAATAGCCATATTATATTTGCATTACTATACACAGTTATATTTCAGAGTATTGGATAAGGCCTGTGGTATATAAAAATTATCCATGAACAGGCCAAGTTTAAATGAAGTCCTAAGGTATTTGATTTTCAGAATGAAAAATATAACTGCATTAAAGTTCTAAGATATTTTATACAAAAGATGGCTGGAGAGAAAGGTAAGACTTTTGCCTATTTGTAACACTGTTAAAGTAAAATTCAGGGTATACTCATATATCACTTAGGATTAATAGAAATGCTTGGTTTTATATGCTAGAAACAAAAACACTTTAGTGCAAAAAGGAATGCATTTCCTTCTTATTGCTTATTATTTAATATTTAATATAATTAATATTAATTTAATATTAAATACTTAATATTTAACATTTCTTTATTATTATTCCTTATTTAATTATCCTTAAAAATTAAATAAAGAATCCCCAAATTCCTACTGTTTCTTTACTGGAGTTGGTTAAGACTCCTCTCATCTCACTTCCTGTATCTTTATAAAGTTAAGGCAAGAGGCACCTCCTAAAAGTTTACTGTGATGAATAGGGGCAAAGCACTGTGTCCTACCTCAGGAATGCAGTAATCTGCTATCAAACCTTTAAAAAGGCAAGCTTTAACAATGTTTTTTACAAAAAAAAAAATGTTTTTTACTTGTTTGCTACTATTTTAAAAGTAATCTCTTATTTGTAAATTGCCAATTACCTTTCTGAAGAATTGCTGTTAAGTGTTCTCCTAGAAGTTGTTTTTCCACAGTAGCAATTAATGACTTCCTATAAGGAAAAAAAAAGTTTAGAATTAGACAAACATCGCTTCTCGGCCTTTAGGCTAAGATCAAGTGTAGAATGAGACAATTGATTCTGCTGAAAATTTAGTCTCTCCTAGGGGATAAAAAAATTAACTAGCTTGCTTTGTTAATTTCAATATTCCTATTCTTCTGAATAAATTTATTGTGCTCAGAGTTACTCTACTTTATGCCTAGAAGGAAAACATTGTGTATTTCAGAATTTTGGTATATCATGAAATGAATATTTCAATGGTCTTGCCATGGCAGGCTTTTCCTAAACTTCTCTGCTTTTACTTGGAAGTATTCACCTATCTGCTTATAGGAATTCCTTGGTTGGTAATATTAAGGAAAGCAGAGAAATACTTTCTCCTATGAATGCTCGCTGAATTTTAATCAGCCTGAAGATTTCAAAGATCACATCAGCTTTTAATACTATTCTTTAATTACATCCTAAACACATATGGACAACCAATAATCAAACCCTTGACTAAACTAAGTAGGGGAAGGAACAACTTGAAGTTTGCACTATGAAAACAACTGTTAAAGTCTCAAGTTTTACCTGAAAATACTTACTAACATGTTTGGGGATGCCCAAAGTGCCTTAAGTGATTCCGCAGCACAGGTTAAGGCTATTAGGCTGAGCGTGTAATACTTACTGGGTGGTCTGATCTAAGTAAGTAATAAGTCTGTCAGCTTCTTCTTCTAGACGTTTATTAACATGATGAAGGTACTCGGGAACCTACAAAGATAAGTTTTTTATATATTGTTTTCCTCTCCATAAATCATTTAGTAAATGGCAAGTCCAAAAGATCCTGGGAGTAGCCCTATCAAATGTGACAGGGTTGAATCATAAGTAAAATCACATGTAAAATTAGAGCAGCGTAACATTTGGGAGATAAATGAAAGGGCAGCTTACGTTCTATAAAGTAGGGTCTATTATGAGACACAGTGGATTTATTCATCATGATTTTTAAATACCTCTCTTTCCTGCATTAATTTTTGGCCTTCAGCTGCGTACAGTCGGTTAGTTTCTTCCAAAAATCGTTGTTCAAAAGAATCCTGATAAATCTGGGAGGGGGTAACAAAGTAAAGAAGTTCAATTATTCAATAAATGTTTACTGAATGCCCTATATGTGAACAGCATTATAAGTCTGGCTTTTTTTTTTAAAGTTTTTTTTGGCCACACCACAGATCTTGTGGGATCTTGGTTCCCTGAACAGGGATTGAACCCAGGCCCCTCAGCAGTGAGAGCATGGAGTTCTAACCACTGGACTGCCAGGAAATTCTGTGTTTGTTTTTTAAATATCAGACTAGGTATAGCAACCAGTTCTGTAGTAAGTGAAGTAGTTAACTTACTTGCAAATCAGAGAGCATGCTTAGAAGGCTTCGGAGTAAACTTCTATCGATTGCTTCACCATTCCTCTCCCTCTCAATCAAAAGAAGAATGCCATCAATTGTCTTATTCTGGACTTTCTGATCACTTATAATATGAGCCCTAAATAGCTCCAGTCCCATGTCCCTAAAATAAAAAATATACACATAATCTAAATTAATTTAAAATGATACCACTTCTGGAGAGGCTTGCTTAACTTCTCACCACATGTTAATTAGGGTTCCAGGCTTTGAAGCAACTACTGTAAAAGTATAAAAATCCACATATTTAATTTTAAATAACATTATTAGATGAAAGCATACAGGAAACTCATTTTGTCTTTAATGAGAACTGAAGCTAAATTCCCATCTTCCTCCGTAACTAAGTTTGATTGATTTATTTCCTTTGGTGGATTTCTTCCTTGGTCAAATCAAGAGACAAAATTAGTTCAAAGCTATAAAATGGTCTTCACTGTACTCGTAATGAAGGCTTAATTGCTCATTTGTCATCTGCCTCCAGTACTCGAAAATCAGTGAGCTCTGATAATTGCTGTAGGTAGAGGCTAAGCACGTGGTGGGGGGAAGAGCTCATTATACTCTTCTATTCTTGTGTGTACATGGGATTTCCCCTAATAATGTTAAAAGATAATGAGTGAACTCTTGATCAGCAACAAAATGATGCACATTCAGACAGTCCAGAGCAAACTTCAATCCTTTTGGCTAACAAAAAGTCTTCATAAATTTTTATATGCTCAGGGAATGTTAGCTATCTCCAATATCAGCATAGAAAAGACATAAATAAGAAAGTAAAACTGCTATAAATACAAGTCTAGAAGCTAAATGTGAGTTTTTAGGAGAATATTCCGTGTATGACTCTATTAGTGTAATTAAGATTTGACTATGATTTGTTAACAAATATTTTCATAATTTTTTTTCTTGCATCCTTACCAAATGGATGGTAGCATTGAATTCTGAAGAACGTAAGTCCTATCCAGAAACAAAAAAATGCTCCTGATCATGATCTGTCAATGAAAAAAAGAAATCAAACAATTTTTTGTATGTTGTGAAGCTGAAATATTTTATAAAATAAGACTGCAGGGTTTACTTGTATATATACTAGACTACTAGGATCAAACATACAGATTAACACATCTGAGAATATGCCCATACCATCTTTTATTAACTATTAATAAATCTTAATTCTTGCTGTAGTTTCTAGGAAAAAAAGAGGTCTATGACCTCTTTGCAACTTGAAAATTAACTAAAAATCAAAACAGAATCAAGGGGCATATAATTTTTCATCAGCAACAGTTCTCAGGGTGAAACTGTCTTAAAATTGTATATGTGGGATTTTGGATGTGTGGGACAGATTTTAAGATTTTTAACTTGCAGAAGATAAGGTTTAAAATAATACCAGATTAGGGAAAAAGGAAAGGTTGTGATGTGAGTAAGCTAAAGTGAAGGACCAGCAGGCACTTTGGTAGGTAACCAAATAACAGGTGGGATAGCCATTAAGACTGACAAAATGTAACACCTATTTACATTTTACACTTGTAACACTTATAGTGCTACAAAAATAAAAATGATTCTAAGGTATAAGTCATTCTAAAATACTGGTCTACCCATAACTTGCAATTTTAAAGTAGAAAACTCGACCAAAATGTTTTTAGTCCCCCTATTGCAAAACTTTTAAAACTAATATTCTTGTATTTGAAGAAACTTATTTTAACTACAATATTTAACTGAAATGTAATGCTTTTTTCCATCTTACCATCTGTCTACAATTGTTCTGCCAACATCTATCAATCTTCTTGAGAAAAAGAACACTATCCAAAGAGTCTGTGAGATACGCGTTAAGGATATTTTAAAAATGCTTAGGACAAGTTAATACATACAATGTTTAAGAGCACATTTGTCTTAAATATGGAAAGCCCTACATACTAAATGAAACTAAATAATACTTATAGAACAAAATGCTACTTCTTAAACTGTAAAAACATGTTAGATTCCACTAAGAAAGAAAAAAACCTTTAAAAAACAAGTCTTAGGGACACCCCTGGTGGTCCAGTGGTTAAGACTGTGCTTTCACTCCAGGGGCCATGGGTTTGATCAATCTATGGTTGGGAACTAAGAACCCACATGCCACAAGGTCAAAACAAAACAACAAAAAGCAAGTCTTAGGTATAATTGAGCATTGTGTTTTCAGTTTATTATTTCCTGATTATCTTTCCTCAAATGGAAATTTGTTAAGACAAAAAGAGTAAAGACATAAAGAAATTTTATTTACATTAGTAGTACAATGTAGATTTGGACCCTAATTAGAGGTAAAAAGTGAAATTTTGTTTTTTTCCCTAGAGGCAAGATGAACAAAAAACAACAAATCTACAAAACATAGGCATTTCATTTTAAGCTGGTTTAAAAAGTGAGGGACAGAGAGGAAGGAAAAGATGAAAATACAAGGTTTTTTGTTTTTAAAAGGATATTCTCTGAACTGATGAATCTGTGCTTTAATGTGATCTTCACAAATCTGTCTCAGCTGTTTGTACAAGTTTGCAGAAATCTTGTAAGAACAGAGATTTTCCACAGCCTGCAAAATTAAACACATACTTTCTTAAGGAGTGAATGTGTGTCTGTGTGTATATATTTCTTGATTATTTACATCTAATTCCTATCATGTTATTTCTACCATGTCAAATTATTAAAAAGGATTATTCATCCATTTAAAACACAAGGTAATACAACCAAATATCAATGCAAGTAGTTAACTTTTTTCATAACCAGTGTACTATACCACCCCTCCCCAAATTAATCTGTTTATTCTGGCAGTACAGTTTAAGTATGCGGGGGAATCAAGTCAAATTCTCCCCTTGTAAAGATTTCCAATTTATAACAACTGCTACATATAAATTCTGTCTTATTCATAAAAATGTTGTTTTCATAAGCAGAATTCCATTTTGAGTTTGAAAAATAATTTCACCAATTGTTTATTAGATGGGTTGGGGAAAGGGAAAGGCTACCCACTCCAATATTCTGGCCTGGAGAATTCCATGGACTCTATAGTCCATGGGGTTGCAAAGAGTTGGACACAACTGAGTGACTTTCACTTTCACTGGGCAGTCCAACTACCACTGAGTTTAAATTTATTTATACTTTCTTTGGTTGCCTGAACAGAGAGATGCAGAATTTATTGCAAGCAGTGTTATGAGAATGAAATAATTATAAAAGGATTTGTCTCAAACATTGCAGCTTAAGAATATTTAAATAAAGATGTTTTAAATTTTGCACAATGGAATAAACATTAATTACTAAAGAAATACTAAATTTTTATTTCTTCTAATTGTTGGATTGGTCTTTTATAGTCACATCCCAAAAGGACAAAACTGAGATTTCACTGATTTTCTTCTTAGGTGTATCAAAAGACTTTCAAATTTAATACAACAGGCATGGTAGAACTCTGAAATAATCTACGATTCCAACTAGTAATGACTTAAGTATAACACCAGGATTTCTTTCTCACCACAACAGAAGGCAAAAATTCCATTAAAACTGACTCTAAGGGACCATCCAAGTCCTGTTGGTTGGATTGGAATTTTATAAATATGTAGTTGGAAGTCATATTCCCAGCATGCAGGTCCAGCAAATAAACTCATAAATGAAAAGAAAACTTAAAGGAAACCACTTACACCGAAGGAGGAAAGGTGCTACACCTTACCAGGAAATAGCAGACCACTTAGATCCAGCAGCTAAAGAGGAATAAGAAAGCTAAGTTCCTGCTGGCCACCACTTACGATGGGGCCTTGGGTCAGGCCACAATGTCCAAGAGTGCGTTTATGTTTATTTCATGTGCCTGACTGGTTCACAATGGTGTCCCCCTCTATGGACTCTCTCTCTGCCTCCTTCTCACTGTATCTTGGTATTCCTTTTGAATGACTAATTTTCTCAGCATTTCTTGTTTCCCTGCTTAAATTCTCTTTGTACTGCATCTTCCTCACATTTCCCACTTCAAGTACTTTTCCAAGTCCTACGTCTACCATTCCCTTCTGCTGTGATACTTTCTTCCATACATTAGTTCTCATCCCACCTGTTTATCTTCTCATACAGAATACCACATTCCCTTACTACTCAGCGAGGTTCCACTTCTTCCAATAAGCTTTCCTTAACTGTCTCAGCTACCAATGACTCGTATGGCGCTATCAACAATCATACCACACTGACTTGTCACTGAATCAACACTGAATCTTTTAATGTGTATATCCTGGCCCCCAACTCTCCTTAATGACAGAGAGAGACCAGACCATGGGCTCATGTACCTGTATGTTCTTTAATACTTCTGGGGCTCTAAACCAGGTGAATATAGTAAATATTCAAAAAACTAATGTACTTATAAATAGCAATGTGTCCTACACACAGAAGGGGCTTACAGCATAAAGCAAAAACTGGTCAGAAAATATGTAATTACAACACACTATTAGGTGCTATGATGGGGATAAACATAGAGGTGAGGTCTCTAACTCAATCTTTATGGCAGGGAAAAGTCAGGAAAGGTTTGCTGAGCAGAAGTAAAGAGGTGGAGTTCCAAAGACCCAAAGGGATGTGGATAGAGAGCTTATGAGAATAGTGAGAAACAGAGAATTGGGCCCAGGTGGAGCAATGGTAAGGAATCCCCCTGCTGATGCAGGAGATGGAGGTTTGATCCGAGTTGGGAAGATGCCCTGGAGAAGGAAATGGCAATCCACTCCAGTACTCCTGCCTGAAGAACTCCATGGACAGAGGAGCCTGGCAGGCTACAGTCCATGGAGTTGCAAACAATTGGACACAACTGAGCAACTAAGTGCATGTGCACGCACATTATATGCATATGGCTTCACGTGTGCTTAGTCGGAGAGTGGTTTAAGATTGTTGTTGTTCAGTCACCAAGTCGTGTCCGACTCTTTGCAACCCCATAGACTGCAGCACACCAGGCTTCCCTGTCCCTCACCATCTCCCAGAGTTTGCCCAAGTTGACGTCCATTGCATTGCTGAAGACATTCAGCCATCTCATCCTGTCACCAGGCTTAAGTTATTAGAAGCAATAAAAGAAGGAAAGGCAAAAAAAAAAAAAAAAGGAAAGGCAAAGGCAGGAGGATCTAAAGTGAGTTTTGAAGGTCAAGATGGAACAGAACCCCTTGCTAGTCTCTTATAGCCTTGACTACTTAACATATAGACCAGATCCAGTAATTTTCCATCTTTAAGAACTTTTCCATCAAGCTCTTCAGGTACTGTTATGGAGAAATTCCCTAAAAGGTATAAAAAAACAAAGGACTGAATGGTGTGGTGCTGAATGGTGGTCTACTATCATTTATATATATAAAAAAGAAAATTGAGAAAACCTCCACACAGCTGTTTTTGCACACATGAAACATTTCTGGAATGATACCCCTAATAACATTTGTTTGCTGGAGGAGGGAGGTTGGAGTGGAAGTGAAGCTTTTCACTACATGCTCTCTAATATTTTTGGGGTTTTGAGTCAGATGAATATATAAAATATTCAAAAAATTTAAGTACTTGCCTCCCCCAATAAAACACTATCTTTCCCACCATCATACTTTCCAGCATGGAATTCAAGGTTCAATATTACCATTATTTACTCTCATAATGTAAATAATCTGTTTATAATCTTCCATACACCCCGTGATCTAAATACTCTGCTTTCCTCACTTTCAAGCAAGGTTTGTTTGGAACAATCATGTGTGCCTAAAACAGTGGCTTCTAAAAGTTTTTGACAAGCCACAGTAAAAAATACATTTTATGTGTGACATAAAATGAATTTATGTAAACAAAACAGTATCTTCATGAACCTGCACTTAGCATTACTATATGTGACCTACTCCGATATTTTCTATTTTACTTCTTTAAAAAAATGCTGGTCATGAACTACTAACTTCATGAGCCTACTAGAATATAAAGACCTCAGGGGCAAGGACTAAGTGATCTCTTTATGTCCATGGCATTTGTCTAGCTTTGCACATAGTAAACAGTCACTGACTCAAGAAGAATGGGGTGTTTACTAAGAACTCTATCCCGTTAGATGCTGGGATAGAAATACGAATAAGAGTTAAATCACCACTTAGGAGTTTGAGGTAAACTCTATTTTATTCCAGATCTTTGAAAAGGAATTTTAGAAATGTATTATTTTATACTTCATTAAACACTCTGGAAATCCTTGGAAGTTTGATCTGGTATAATTATTACTAATATAACCTCATTTCACAGGTAACGATAGTAAACAATCTAGATAATTCTATAAGACTCTTAAATAAAAACTATCTTTTTATTTAAGCTCCCAATCACTACTGGTTAAATATGCTGCCTTAAATCCTTTTTGCAGGTGTCAGCCATAAAATAAGAATATTTTAATAAGGTTTTAACTTTTATTGTTCCAAATCCCAGCCTCTTCCCTCCAAGTTGCATCAGAAACATGTTTATCTGAAGAAAAACAAACAAAAAACACTCCAAAGAAAATATAAATGTGTAGCAAATGAAATGCAAAACTATAGTTCCTGAAATTAAATGCTTTATGGAATACAAGATTTAAGAAACAGCAAAGGCACATAAGCTTCCATTTAGGACGAAGAGTGAAAATGAGGTTAAGACTAGAATTTAAAAAATGAGGATTAAAATAAGGATAAAAAATACAAAGAATGCAAAAATTAATGGTAAGGGAGGAAATCTAGAAAATTTTCTGATTCAGCAACAAGAGACACTTAAAGATTCAATTCCTTCTAGGATGCTGAACTCTGGTTGCTGATCTAATGAGTTGGGGCTTCTTTATCAAACCATATGCTTAAATAGAGAAAGAAAAACCACATCACAAAACTTTTCAACTGATATAGCAATAAAACCCAAATTATGTCTTTTTATGTCTAGTAAAAACGGCTAAAATAAAATGATCAGAATATATAAAAAACTGAGAATTGCAGGAAGGAAGCCAAACAATGAAACCTAAATTATTTTTCTTTTTACATCCAGTAAAAACAGCTTAAATAAGACAAATTATCAAGGACTAAGAATTTATAGTTGGGTAAATAGCAGGGATAGTATTAACAACGCAGTAAAAACAGGAGTAATAGTAATGTGACAGACTAAGCTTAAAAATATCAACAGTTAAACTTACAGAACACAATAGCTAGTTATCAACACAGAATACAATAATCACCTCTGCTAAGAATCTTCCTAATCTCCCATATCCAATGACTACTTAAGAAACCCCATTTTACAATGGAAAATAAACTATACTTGGATGGATGTACTATTTCTTTCTAGTATTGTGGCCATCCACTGGATTAATACATCACTAATTGATTCATTTACAATCACTAATTGGCTCATTATTTAATATTTATTTCACAAGCAGCAAACCAAACAAGAGTTCCTATTATTAATGAATTATTTTCATCGAATCTGAAGTAGGAACTAATCTTCAAAGATAAGAACTAGACATTTATATTAAGAATAAATGTAACACCTTCATACAGAAATAACCAGCCAGCTCCAAAAGAGGCAGCTGATTTAAAAACACTACACAGGGGCTGCCCTGGTGGCTCAGTGGTAAAGAATCTGCCTGCCAATGCAGGAGACACAGCTTCCATCCCTGATTCAGGAATATTCCACATGCCATGGAGCAACTAAGCCCATGCGCCACAACTTTTGAGCATGTCCTCCAACAAGAGAAGCCGCCTTAGTGAGAAGCCTGAGCATTCCAACTAGAGAAACCCCCGCTCGCCACAAGAGAAACTTCTGCACTGCAATGAAGACCCAGCACAGCCAAAAATAAATAGATAAAATTATAAAAAAAAAAAACCCCAACACCACCACACAGCTACTCACACAAGGCTGAGAACATGAGGAAAATAATCCCATTACTTAAAATATTACTTAGTAAAAGTCACACACTAAAACCAAGATTTCAACTATTAAGATACCACATGTAAAAACAAGACACATTCTTGAGAAGTGCAGAGGGACACTGTTCCTAGACAGTTCTCTTTTTCTATTATTTTTCAGTTTGGCTAATGGTGTTTTCTTTTCTTTTTTTTATTAGTTGGAGGCTAATTACTTTACAATATTGTAGTGGTTTTTGTCATACATTGACATGAATCAGCCATGGATCTGATGCACCTTTGGAATGTAATCTATTTACGAGCCAGCTGTTCTGGCCTAGTGTGGATTTAGAATTTAAAAATATGTGTGGCTTTAGAGCTGTATAATAAAATGTAATCTCAAAATAAAGATATCTTTTTTTAAAGACTCAAATACTACTTATTATCATCATCGATGACACAGATATATAGCAGGCTGTGTAGTTAAGTACTTTTTCGCAGTATTTATTTATAACCACGCCATACAGGTAGTGTTAGTCTCCCTGTTTTGCAAATGAGAAAACCAAGGCTTAGAGAAGTAACAGACCCAAAGTTATCATGAGTTGCAGATTTCTAATCTAAGGCAGGCTAATCAACTCAAAAGTCAGTGCATTTAACCATACTCCTATCTGTTGTCAATCAAAATTAAACAAGCAGAGACTTCCCAGGTGGTCCAGTGGCTAAGACTCCGTGTTTCCAATGCAGAGGGCCCAAATTTAATCCCTGGTCAGGGAATTGTATCTCATATACTGCAACTAAGAGTTCACATGCCACAGCGAAGAATAAATAAATATTAAAAAACAAACAGACAAACAAAAATATCCAAACCAAAACAACACAAACTCTGCCTCACTCTTATAGGATTTCAAGGTTGTGGAGGAAAGGTAAGTCTCACTTTGAATCACTTTTAAAAGATGCCGTTTACTTATTGCAAATATACTCAGAACAGCAAGTTCTTTTCTAGAAATTAAAAACTTAAGAAGTATATGCAGTCTACACTAGGGAAAACTTCCATGCTGAAGCTTTAAAGCAAAATGGGTTTTCATTCATAGAAAAAAGTTCTGCATAGACATATGCCAAATAAGTATTTACATCAAGGATAGAGAGAGAGGTGGGGAATGAGTAGTTTGGAAAACTTTTGTTTGGTATGCTACATATTTCTATATTGTTTCAATTTTAGGAGAGTACTTTTAAATTACATTTCAACCACTCAAAAAGGAAACAACCACTCAAAAATGCAACAAGCACCTGAAATCCAGATGGAATGAAACAATTTAACTTTTTTATCCTTTTAAAACTTGAACATCTCAATATAATCTTTCTGAGAACAATCCAAAGGAGCATTTACAAAATTAAGGTAGAAAACAACAAAAGAGCTAGAAACAAATGCTTTTAAATTTATTATAGCAGAAGTAGTAAAGTATTATAAAAATGCTAACAGTGAAAAGTTATAACTGATTTTAGGCTAAAGAAATGCAACTGAACAACACCAGGTAGAAATTCTGAAGCATAAGAAAGGAAAAACACACAAAAATGTGAGCTATGAGCTCCTGAAACATAAAGAGACCTAACAGAAACAATTCATCAGGAAAAGGGACGTCCTTGGCAGTCCAGGGGTTAAGACTCCGTGCTTCCACTGCAGGGGGCGCGGGTTCAATCCCTAGTTAGGAAACTAAGATCCCAAAAACCACACTGCATGGCCAAAAAAAAAAATTTATCAGGAAAAATAGTTTTTAACCCACAAGCTCCAGAAAAATATTCAAAGTACAGCAAATAGAGTTCATTAACAACTACAATCATCACAAAGATAAAAACAAGCATCATATATTAAGGCACTTATACAGAACCTAGAAAAACGGTAGTGGATGAACCTAGTAGAGAATGGACTTATGGACACAGCAGGGGAAGGTGAGGGTGAGATGAATTGAGAAAGAAGCATTGACATATGTACAGTATCATGCGTAAAATAGATAGTGGGAAGTTGCTATATAACACAGGGAGCCCTGTCTGGCCTTTTGTGATGACCCAGAGGGGTGGGATGAGGGGAGGGGAGGGATACTCAAGAGGGAGAGGAATATATATATATGGATATATAATTATGACTGATTTGTGTTGTACAGCAGAAACCAACATGACCTTGTAAAGCAATTTCCCACCAATTAAAAAATAAAATTAAAAACTAGAAAAAAAACTAGAAACTAAATGTTATAAACATGAAATACATAACACATTACTAAAATTAAAGCTGTATGCCAGCATCTCCAAAGAAACACCATATACATGCATGTATGAACAAAAATTACCTTCTCTGATGACAGAGTTTCTTTCCCCTACAGTAAGACTATTTGCTTCAAACACTGCACTACAGAGGCATGTGGAGTGCGTGCACTGGACTAAAAATTTGGGTATCTCAGTTTAAGTCCCCTGCTCTGCCAATATGCTCTCCAGTGCAGAGGCCCTTTGAGACTTCATTTCCTCATAAAATGAGGATAACAACTACTACCTTACCTAGTTCACAAAGCATTTCTATAATGCTTAAACGAGATAACCCTACTTTGTAGGCTATCACATACACTACACGAAGAAAAACATTGGACCACATAACCACTTCAAGTCTAACTGCAATTCTACATTTATTATTGCACAACTCAGGATCCACATGTGTAATGTACCAACACAGCCAAATGAGGTGGGCTTATCCTTAGTAATACCTTAGTACTACTACTATTACCTGACACTTGTGTATACCACGCAGCATTACCGTGCAGTGGGCACCATTCTGAGAGTTTGGCATGTACTGATACATTTTATTTAAATAGCAACAGAAACTGGTGATCTCAACTGACACAATGTAAGTAAAAAAATCATACTGTGGCTTATGAAATAACTAGTGACAAAATCAACTTATATTTCTATCATAGTGCTTCACGGTATTTTTCACAAACATCTTATTTGAGTCTTATAGGCAACTTGGTGAAATAGATACAGCAGTTCTTCCCCCTGTTTACAGAGGAGGAAACAAAAGCTGAGAGAGGTTTAATACCTTGCCCAAGATCACAGGCTAATACAGCCAAAACTAGATCCCTTTGTCTTAACTCCTGATCCACTATTTGTCCATCACCATACTACTTCCACAACTAAAATGAATAGATGAAAAATACAAATTTTGATAAACTGAACCAACATAATTTCTTACAAGGTACTCATCAATACAAAAACTCAAGCCATTGCAGCACTTTTAAAATATGAAACTGCTAACACTATAATGGAAACTAACTTCTTGAATTGGTTGTGGCAAAAATACAGTAGGGCAAAGTATCTTGGTAACAAGAAGTCTAAATCAGTAACTGTATTTTTAAGTTAAACATTTCAAGGACAGATCCATTTGTTTAGCAAAAGAAACAAATCTGAACCTCAGACCAAGTTGATGAACAACCTGCTGCTCGTTTTGGGGGCTAAGGTGTGTCTCGTAGGCCAAGAGATAGGACAAACATAAAGAAAAAGAGAAATAAACGACAAAAGCATGCCAACAGGAAAGAGGTAGGATAAAGTATACGGCATTTCTTATAGGTAATACCACTTAGCAAGAAGTATCACAATAGAAAATGTCACCAGAAATTATCTTTGGAATCCAAGCTATAGGTTTCTATTACAGGTAAAACTTACTATACCAAGGTACTCCTAACTGTAAATCCTAATTAGAAGGGTCCAAGATAAGCCCAATTTATACCAATAAGACTGCAGCCATAGTTGATGTCAGAATATATGGTCTGTTTATAAAACAGTGCATGCATTAACAAGAAATTGGAACTAGAAGGGAACCAAAAATCTACATAAGCACCCATTTCGGAAAGTAAACTCCATATGCACTGCATCTCAATTTACGCTTACCAAATCTGGTTATCCACACCCATACATACCTGATACAGCTCTTCTAAATTGTACTTAATTGAAGTACTATTCTGGATAGCTTCCACTGCTTCTTTTAGTTTCTGCCATGTTTCATCCGTGTAGTTTTCTGGTAACTTAGGCTTATCTAGATGATATAATAAAAGGTTTGATAATCAGAATAACATGCAAGATATACTAACAAAAGGATCCATAAACTACTAGTATTATTGCTCTTCAAGGGTAAATTGTGATGTTTATAATTATCATACCTAATTATTAAAGTAACCATTATATTTAGGCTTAGTAATAAAATTTCAAATGCCAGAACACTGTGCAAGTCATTTTATCTCACCTATTAAAACTGAAGGTGAGAGGTTTTTTCTATTGTTTGAATTGCTTCAAAAGACAAAAATCTGAAAATGAGAGATAAAAACTAATCCTGATCCTATTCCATCATGTGTAAAACCTAAGTCAACATGAATTTTGTATCTGAGATTTAAAATACTGAGTGCCTATGTACAAAGTACTTTATAAACACCTTAATCTTCCTAATAATGTCCTAAGGATGGTATTATTATCCTTATTTTGCAACTAAGGAAACTGAGGCTGGAAGACTCATTTACTAAAGTTTGCCCAAGGTCACCACAGATGGTCAGTGGCAAAATTGGGATTCTAACTTAGGTCTGTCTGACTCCCATATTTATGTACCATCTACAGAAATGGAGAGAAACATTCTAATTCATGTTTTAATTTAAACTACATTTATGAGCAGAATGAAATATAAAGAAATCAAAACATTCTAATAACTCCAGAACCTATGTAGCACTTTCAAAATAAACAGGGACATCTTAATCCAGGCTTTTATTTAAACTTCCCTGACCAGCAATTTTTTTTTATTAGAACATCCAGATACCTTAATAATGTGTTTCTATTTTAGGAGGGGGAGAAACAAAAACCCAAACAAAATCTCTGAAACCAGTATACAAATACAATTAGGGTCATAGCTCATCTCTTTAAAAATCCTTGGCTATTAAATTGATATATTTAAAGTAAAACAGTGAACAAACTAGTCAATTACAATTCATATTTACTCAGATAGGTCTACTATTAAATCAGAAAGATTACAACATTTCAGAGCCTGGAGGTGGGAGTGGAGTGACAGGAAAAAGGAAAGGTTAAAAACAAACAACACTATAACCCTCTGCTTGAGACAAAATAGAGCATATTCCTGATTTCTACACTAACGGTGAAAATACAATCATGGGGAATCTAATTTTCTCAATCCTAATATTTAGCCACAAGGCACTGATCTGGTCAGTATTACTTTAATTCATTCATTTTACTTCTCCACTTAATAAACATTTTAGCATTAGTTGCCCGTTAAGAGTGTTGAAAAAGTCAGGCAGAGAAACCTAAACACACTCAATAGATTAAAAAGTAGCTCAATTACATTATGCAAAATTGCTGATTTTATATTTGCAACAATGCATTCATAATACTCTCAATCACAGACAGACCTCAAAAACTTGAACAAATTCTCCTAAAAGCTGCAGGTCAGTACTTTAAAACCCATTTCAGTGATAGAGTTACTACTAGAGTTACTACTTCTGTGTATACACGGTATTTTTCACTTCCAAACCCTACCTTTGGAAAGAAATGCCGAGATCATAAATACTTTTCTCCAACTACTGCTTCCATGAGTTTCAAGAATGTAGTATTCAACATTATAAATCTACACAAAAGTCTTCTTGGAACATGAAAAGATCACTATTGCTACCTGAATTTCTAGGGACTAGATAACATGGCCTACTGAAGCATAAAAATAAAAATCCCAGCAGTGCCAAGGTTCACTATTCACCTGAAATAAACAAACATTTTTAGAGTACAAATTTCTCACCTGTAAAATCCGGATCAATCATATCGATTGCCAATGTTATGAAGAATAACAGATCAGATACAATAGGCTGAGACAGACCTCAAAATGCTGCACAGAAATACCTGGTGTATGCTTCAGAAGAAGGATACTAACCACCCCCGGAAAATGAACCCTCCACCCAAAAAGGACCTCCCTCCTCCTCATTGATTATGCATAAAACATTAGGCCACCTCTATACTGTTTAACATATTAGCATAAATTGAGCACGTGACCACTCAAGTGTCAAATCCTGAGTACGTGATCATGGATTTTGGCCCTGGTTACCTTTAAAGTTCTTGATCACTAACTTCTTAGCAGAGCCAGGCTTGCTGTTAGCAAAGCTAGAGGCGGTGGTGGAAGATTTGGCCAGGCCGTTTGCGTGATGCACCGAAGCCACAGTAGAGATTAGTATACTCTTATTTTTAAGTTGCTGCTGCTGAGATGTTGCAGCAGTTGGTGAAGATGAGGACGAGGACGAGGATTCCTCAGCCATCTTCGTATCAAACCCTACAAACTCCAGGTTATCTTCAAAACGTAGCTTCTTCTGTATCGGTACGGGGCTGGGAGCAGTCCCTGGGACCCCCAGGCACGAGAAGGACGAGGTTGAAGGGAATGCCGAATCCCTGGGTTGTAAAGGAAGAGTGGAAGAGGAGGAAGAGGTGGAATCAAAGTCTTCTCTCTCGTTACTACTGTTACTGCCGCTACTGCTGCTGCTGTTTAACTTTCTCTTCTTGGCAGAGGTGGGCGGAGTGGTGCTGGTATTACCATCAGTGGCTGATCTGACCTCTTGAGCAGCAGCAGCAGCTGAGGGATTGGGGGAAGAAAAACCTGTTGGAAACATGAAAATAGCGGGGTCAACAGGCAGACGAGCATCAAAAACCTACGTTTATATGCCTGCGTGCGTGTAGGAGAGAAGGTGGCAATGCTAGAGGGGGAAGGGAATAAAGAGAGGAGAAACACAGAGGACGAGAAGGAAAGTGAAGGGGGGGCTCCACCCGGGGAATGGGAGGGTTTGGGAAGGAGGATAGGCTGACACCAGGAGTGAGCAGAACAAGGGGGGAGAGCGAATGAGGAGGCAGACAGGTAAACGGCCGTGCCGTCCCCCTCCCCTGCTTTTCAGTCTCTCTCCCCCCTTTCTGCAGGAGCGACTCAGTAAGTCTGTGAGGCTGCAGCTCCTCCTCCTTTTCTCCCTCTCTCTGGGAGGGGAGATGCAGTGCTTGGGGGGAGGGGGGAGGGGGAGAGAACCGGAGCTTGTTATTGTCAATAGCACAGGAGGCTAAAGATGGCGCCACTTCCGGTCACGAGGCACCGAGGGAGGAGCGGCGTCAGTCCGCGAAAGGGGGGTGGAGAGAAACACTGCAGGCGCCCGGGGGGCGGGGGAGCTGGCGCGGGGGGAGGCGGTGGGAAAGGGGCCGCTGAGGCGCCGGAGACGCTCGCGCTCCTGCCCTCGCGCTCGCTCTCCCTACCCCTCCCTCTCCAGCTCTCCCTCCTAGGCAGCACTCTCCTCCCCCGGCCCACCGATAACTCCCACCCTCTCCTAAAAGGTCCCGCGGGAAGCTTCGCGCCGCAACGCCCTTACCGGAAGTGACTGGGCAGACACTTTTCATAGCGCCCAGATCCCGAAGCCCCCAGGTCTGCAGGACTTGGGGGGCGGGGGTAGGGAGAAGGGGGGGCAGAGAAGGGGAAAGGAAGGAGGGGGCGGGCCTTCGAGACACCTTCGGAGCTCCGGATTGGAGCTTCCTGAATGCGAGGCGGGCAGGGAGGGGTGGTGGCGGGAGAAGGAGCGGGAAGGAGTCTGCAGGGGAGGGAAGGTGGTGACGGTGAGGGGCGGGGTGAGCTAGCTGGGAAAATAAGAGGGAGGGAGTAAAAGGAAAGGAAAGGAGAATAAAAACTTTGAAAGAGATAAAGGAATAAGGAGGGGTTGCAAGGTGAGAGAAGTAACTTGAAATGAAGGGAAACAGTCATACCATTATGCCTGATGATAGGGAGGATGTCATGATAAGACAGGAAAAGAAAAAGCTTAGATACAAAGAAGATAAATGAGTTTTTCATTCAGTTGAACTATATACATTGTTTCTCTTTCATGTCAAGGACGCCGCTGACTCAATACTGAGTTTTGATACTTTTCTCAGTAACATAGATGCAAATCCTGTTACTTCCTACAGGGAGCATTCTCTAAGATGGCTGGCTAGAGTTAAAAGGGTGCATTCTAAGATCAAGAAACGGGAAGGTAACTTAACACGTCCCTCTAGCACAATTCCTAGGGCCAATCCCAGCTCCAACTTCCATCAGCCGTTAACCCGGTAATTTACAGACTAAACAAAACCACTTTTTACGAAATCCTGGTTCATGTTATTTCTCCAGACATTTTAAGAGAACAATATCGGTAAAAGTCAATATTTTCTACCAATATAGTACACAAGCCCAAATTTTAAAACATTAATCCTAAAAACAAACCTTTAAATTTGGTTACATTAACAACAATAAGCCATGTAAATCCCCTGTTGGGAGTTGTTATTTAACCCGAGGGTATTGGAGGAGGGGAGGTAGGAGAACCTGGCAAAGAAAACTACATTGGACAACCTGTTGCTCTTCCTAACCGCAGAAACATTCAAGGAGCATGTATTGCAACACTGTATGCCAGACACAATACCAGGTCCTGTCATTGAGAAGCAGTGGGAGAAGAGTTTCAAAATTAGTTTCTGTAACAGTATTATAACATACAAAGTGCTGTGGGAACAGGTGAAATACATTTGAGAGAAGTCTGGAATAGTTTGAGCTTCACGGAAGAATTGAGGTTGATGCTGGGTCTCAAAGAGGGAGTTGCCAAAAAGAGAGGGGAGAGGACTGAAAGGCACCCTGAGCAGTGGAAACAGGGGCAAAGCAGGGAGTTGTGAAAGGACCGGGCCTGCTTATGGAAATATGAAGAATGCAGTGAGGCTGGAAAGTAGTACGTCTGGTTGGAAGTAAGAAAGATGAGGCTCAAGGATGCCTGGCAGGTGAAGTAAAAAATTTTGGAGTCTACCCTGCAGGCCAAAGTAGACAGTATGGAGACCAAACTGGGCTTTTAAAAGCAGGGTAGTAAGGGGATTGTGAGGGATTAAAAGCAGTTTGTATTGTATTGTTTGAGATAGACAAATCAGAATCCTAAGAATAAATCAGTTTTCTAATTTTGTTTACACATCACTTTTTATTTTTTATTGTCTTAAAAAGCCCTTCATTAAAAAGCAAATCCTCCTAGAAAAGGTACCACCTTGGGCCACTATCCAGCTTTGGGCAGTTTGATGACAACAGGCTGAAAGCAAAGCTCTAATGGAACTTAGGGCCCAGGGCCACAGAGAAGAGAGATAAGAGGCCTCAAAGGGGAAAGATGGGCTCCTATTTGTTTTGAATGTGCCATGTTGTTCTTCCTGCCCAATATGAGACTTGTAAGCTCTTAAGGCCAGGTAAGGTGTCCCAAAATATTAAACCCTCCCTTATTGTGTCTCACATTTCACACGGTGCTGAACAACTGTAAATGCGGAGTAAATACTGAGTTAAATATTTCACTGAATGAGAATAAAATAATACCATGTTTTCATAAGGGAAGATTAACTGGCCAATTTTCAGGACTTAATGATAAAGGTCATTCTCATTTATGTAGTTATATTCCTTAGAAGGTTATATGGATGGGCCAACTGATAATAGCCCAAAGTGGTACCCTTTCTAGGAGGATTTGCAGTTTAACCAGGGACCTTTCAAGACCAAAAAAAAAAAAAAGTAAGCTATGTTCTAATTCATGTAATTATATTCCTTAGAAGGAATATAGGGAAGTGCTAGCTATTTAAAAAATTACAAATCTTAGTGCCAAAGATAAACTTTTATGCTAATATACAGGATAGCTGAGTCCTGTTAATATTCAACTATGTGGTTGTAATAATAGCTCCCAATCTGACGTGGTTATCTAAGCCCTTCAGTCTTCCGTGTTACATGTTAGCTCTAAAAGCACAGATGCTTGGCTCCTGAGCTCTAGGCTCACTTTGAATGACCCAGTAGCTAACCTACTAGTTAAGTTTTCTGTGAAATATCCTTAAGTGAGATTTAGAGGAAAATATTTTTTCTTTTTGATTAATAAAAATCTTCCTTTTGACATTTTACAACCTTAATTTATTTTGTCCAGGTCGATTCTTACATATTTAGCACATCTTAGTATGAATATGTAATTTATGTAATTAAAAAAATTTAACATTTACATTTTGTGGCACAATCCAACTTAGATATTACTGTGTAATGTATGAAGACTAGAACTTTGTGTCTTTTTGGAACTTTGGACCAATTTAAAAGGAAGAAAAACCCACGTTGCTTTGTAAAACATCTTTGACGTCAAGAATCAACTAATTGGGGCTAACCAAAACATACAATCATGTGTGCATGTTCAGTCGTGTCCAACTCTTTGTGACTCCAATGGACTATAGCCCACCAGGCTCCTCTGTCCATGGGACTTCCCAGGCAAAAATACTGGAGTGGGTTGCCATTTCCTCCTCCAGGGGATCTTCCCAACCCAGGGATTGAACCCATGTCTCCTGTGTCACCTGCACTGGCAGGCGGATTCTTTACCTCTAGCACCACCTGGGTGTCTACTGAAATGTTTGTCAACAAATACTAAAGACATTCTCAACAGTAAAATACATTTTTCATGGTTACCTCAATGAAACCACAATAATAAAACTGTGCAATGGAGACACCATACGTTTATGGCATTATCAGATTAAACCCAATTGGGCACTGTACACATTCCATACACAGAATCTTTCATCTTGTGAGTTCAACTCATACCTTAGAAACATTAATTAATACCACCAGATGAAGTATTACTGGCCTTCTTTTAATCAAGTAAATAAATCTGTAGCTATTTATAAAGGTAAATATATGCATAAAGGAAAAGATACAAATAAAGACAGGACTATCTAATGTCCATCCCTCTTTCTCTGTAGGCATCTCTCTAAATAGGCAGAGTGTAAGCAGTTTTCCTTTTTTGATCATGGGGATTCCCCAGGGTGCTTGGTTTGGGTTCTTCTCTAGACATCTCTGGGGAGGGGCTTGTCAGTGAATAGTCCCTCTTTGAAGCCTTGTTATTCATGGGTGGGATTTTCCTTAAAAACAGCAGACAGTGCTTGCCCAGAAACATGTTTCTGCAGCAAGCCTTGTTTAAGAATCTGTCCAGAAAAGACAACTTCTGGGGAAAAGGTGGTGCATGTTCTCTATCCATTTTTCTGAAGGACTATCTTTGAAGGAGAGAAATACAGATGTGTCAAACCAAGCAGTGGTGACAGAGTAAAAATTTTATCATAATAAGGGCTTTGTTATGCTATCAGCAGCAAGGGACTGCTGGGGGATGACTAAGGAGGCCAAAGCTTAAGCAATGATGCTCCAACTATACATTGTGTATTCACCCTTTGCCCATCCTGGAACTGCTTTATAAAGCAAGGAACTTAATTACAAATGCTGCATCTATGATGTTCAGTAAAATGTAAATAAATGACACAGATCTCATGTTTTAAAACAAGATCAAAAAATAAATAAAAATAAGACAAGATCATTTCTGTGTTATATCATTTCTAAAGTTATCTCATCAACTGAAGATTTACTGACTTGGAGTAAATTTATCCCCTTGTTTCAGAAATTTTATGTACTGTCCTACCTGTGAACCATCTGGCAAGTAGATTTAAGGACTAATAGGGCCAGGCAGTTTCCCCTGGGGGGTTGGGAGTGGGGGACAAATCAGTCACAGACTATTTCTTCCTTTGGTGCTGCCAAGCACTTGCTTATTATGGAGTTGAGTCTTTCTA